CTCATCAGGCTCTCTCTCTCTCTCTCTCTCTCTCTCTCTCTCTCTCCTCCCCTCTCCCCACCCACCACGAGAGGCGCTACGGCCACAGCAGTGGCATGACCCTCGCAACAAGACCGGCGCCAAAGGAAGCCTCGGCGTGGCCGGCCTTGGGCGGGCAACCCCTAACACAGGCGGTCGAGCGCGTCGGGCCCTGCGCATCTGACACCGCTGCCCGTGGTGGCCCCCAGAGCGATAAAACGCCCCAAAGACGATCCGCCACGCCATCGCAGGTATAGTCACCGGGAGGAGCCGGTGCCCGGCTCGCTCGCCTCACATTCTTGGCCCCGCTCCTCTCTCATCATTGCAGTGTCTTGCGCCGCCGCCGTCAGAGCCCCTTTGCCATGCGTGGTCGCCTCTTCCTCTTCCCCTTCACCGGCTCCGGTCCGTGGTTATCTGGCCTGCGTGTCGGCGCTGTCGCCTCTTCTTCTCCGTCGTCGTGGCGGCGCGCCTTACCTCGGTGGCCGGATCTGCCGGCTCCCTCCCTCCTCCTCCTGGCGAGGAGGAGGGTGGCGCGGCTTCGTCGGAGGGAGGAGGGGGCTCGGCCAGCGACAGACGGACGACGGCCATGGGCGCGACACTTCTGCCTTCTCCACCGCCGACGTCTTTGCCTTTATACTGGGCGCAGACAGGGAGGGAGAAAGGGGAGGAGGAGGAGAAGGGTGGTGGGGCCCATAGGGTCAAACTCGTCTTTTCACATGGCAGTTAACGGTTCACGGATGGCAAATTCAACGGAGTGTCGTATAAGGAATGAAAGTTGAACTCGGTGTCAAATAGGGAACGGAAATTTTTTGAGGGCCAAGAAAGGAACGGGTCATTTATCTGGTGTCAAATAAGGAATTCTCTCTTGAATTGAACGCTTCACCTCTCTAGGGCTGTCAGGAATGTAGGAATTTCACATGAATCGTGCAGAAATTTTATAGAAATCAATTCAATTTTACAGAAAAAACATAGGTTTAGAAAAAATTCCCATATTCCAAACACAACCTCGATTCGTCATCCGTCTCGTCATACTCCTACTCCCATGCCATGTTTCCAGTTTCCAAACCCATAAATATGTTGTGTGCTGCTGTGCTTTGACCGACGACGGTCCGAGTTGAGAGGCGCGTCGCTTCTTCCTCTCTCCAAGGACAAGAGAGGTGAGAGATCACTATCCGATCAGAACTCTCTCCCGGTGGTGCCCGTGCCGCTATATTTGGCCATTTGGCCCGAGCACTATGGGCCGCCCCACTACCCGATCACGGCCTGCCACGGCCGCTCGGCTGGCTTGAGCCGTTTCCTAAGTCCTCCTTAAAATTTTATCGGCCGCATGTGCACGTATTAATGGGCTAACACGACAGGCCCGCTTATTCTTCACCGTTGATGAGCCAAGATGAACCAGAGCCGTTGGATAAATCCCTCCCTTATTCTTTTACTTCCTCCTCCTCCTCTCTCTCCCCACTCATTTCCTCAAGCTGAGCCGTCGACGCAAGACAGGAGGGCGCTCTCCGCAGGACAAGGAGCCCCGAGGGCCTCAGATCGGTCATCTGATCAGGAACCAGGACTGGCACGGTGCCCGGCAGTAGAAGCTCGCACAGGCTGCCCTCTGCGACCTTCTCTCTCTCTCCACGTTGGTTTTAGTCCACTGGAAAATCGCGGATGGAGAAAACGGTTTTGTTGCACGGCATCGAGTGGCGGGCGGCGTGGCTAAAAAAGCGCACACGTTAGTGCAGCAGGTGACGTGAAAAAAAAAGCTGATTAAGGGCATCCAATGCCATGGCCTGATCCATATCTCGGATCCAACTTATTAAGTGGCGGCGGCATTGGCGAGGGCGAAGCCAAAGCGGCGGCACCACGCCGGGCGAAGCGAAAGCATAAGTTACGAGGGCGAAGCGTCAAGGCCGCCCGCCGCTGCCCCATCGGCGGAAAGCACAAGCGCGCACGACGCTGATTTATAAGTTTTTCGCAAGACTGTGACGGCACGGTTCACCGCCCATAGGGCCGTGCTCGAAAAAGCCAAAGGGGTGACTTATAAGTTTTAAGCCGTGGGTGCTGACCAACTTAAAACTTATAGTGCCGTGCGCCGGGCGGCGGTTGGCATGTATAGTAGCCGCACAGGCTGCCGGTTGCACCTTCTCTCTCTACGTTAGTTTTAGTCCACTGGAAAAGCGGAGGAGAAAACGGTTTTGTTGCATGGTCTAAACTCTAAAAAAGTGCACACGTTAGTGCAGCAGGTGACGTGAAAAAAGCTGATTAAAGTGCGTTAAGATCTGCGGAAAGTGCATTTGGAACATTTATCATGCATGCCATGTGACCACAGAAAGCCGTAAGCAAGTCCAAGATATGTCGCGAGGTGATGCCAAGCGCACCCAAACAAGAAAAAGGGTAATGCCTGGTATCTTACGCTTTTCAACATGCACGGTATTTCGATTTTGAACTTTGAACTATGGAAACGGGGCTGGATATTTTCTATTGCTTTTTTTATAAAGACATTCGAAAGAGTATCACATTTAATATATCTCAAGAAAAACAAAGACCGGTACGAGCGATGGATAATAAGACACAAGACAACCTCTAAAAAATAAGAGTACATCAAAGACTAAATCGGTCTTCTCTTTCTTCGAACGTCCACTGCCCGTCGGAGTCGGAGTTTGACGATCGCACTGTGAAGATAGCAAATAAAAGGGACACCTGCAAACACCGTCGCCAAAGTCTTTGAAGACCGAAAAAGTCACACGCTCCTGACAACGAGATCTAGTATTCACTAAAAAAACATTGGCTAGAGGAAACCTTCAAGAAATGCTGGCTTACAATCTTCACCATCAGACAGTGTGTTGAGACTAGGCAGATTTGTTCTCTAGTTAATTTCGAGGTGGTTTTCTATTTTCTAAAAATAACAACAGTCAATTATAATCTTTAAAAAATCATAACTAATTTATCTAGAGTTAGAAAAATGAAGCTAATACCTTTTTTTACTAAAATCTTGTATATTTGTTAGTGGTCTATTATAGAATTATGTTGATCATATTTATTCTTGTTTCTAGTGTTTTATTGCTTGTGGTCATGTCTATTATTTGTTTAAATTATTGTTTTGTGCCATACTGCTTTATGTTGACCACATGATGTTTGAGGTACTACTTTGTTTGAAACCTATAATCTAATCTGGCGATCAATATAAAATAAAGCGCTAGCAATGCATTGCCTACATAGGATCTATACCTATGATGGAGCATGACATCTGTGAAGTTGATGTCGTCTTTCACATCTTTCTATGTATTTATAGTTTGCCAGATCCTATTAGTTGATCTTTAGTTCTGATTATTGCTAAATGATAACTCAAATAAATAATAAGAATGACTACAAACATAAATAAATAAATAAATAAATAAATAAGTTCCAAACAACTATAGATAGAAATATGTAACATTTTTTAAAAGAAAAATAGTATTAAAAAAACAATTTACAATATATTAGAGTAACATTTTTAAAAGAAAAAAATTATTTTTTAAAAAAATTACAATATATTAGTCATGAACTTTTAGAGATTAAAGTAGTTTTTTATTATTTTTAGAAATAGATAACCTACCTTTGAAATCAATTATTACTTGACTAAATAGATTTAGTTTGAATAGTTGGAGGGCATATAGTACCTAATACCTAATTTCATAGTTTAGGTTACCACGTGGCAAGCATGGAGAGCACCCTCTCAAACATATTTCAAACATAATTTCATAGTTTAGGTTAAAATTTGATTGTCGCACAATTTTACCCAACAAGAAAAGTTCCTTCTGTTACTTTGTACGTGCTTTTATTTTGTTTGTTACAAACATTGGTACCTCTGGCTAGTTGGAGTCCGAAAGTTAATGATTGAGTCAACAAATTATGTTTCCTTTTCTCTGTGATTTCCAACTGATATCTTATCACTTATCAGGATAGTCATCTGATCTCCACTTGCAAACCAGTTCTAGGTCCTTCAGGTACATGAGTTGAGTTCCCACTTCTCGAAAGCGTCCTCACGGAACTTGGAACTCCCTGGGTCAGGACTCAGGCGTCACCGAAGTCAGAACGGACCCAATGTGCAAGGGAGTACTTGTCTCGGCTAGCTGGAAGCAGGTGGTAACCGTCAGCTCACCATGAGATCCCCGAAAAATGGCTGATAAGACATGGCTGAAGCACGATTGATTTGTTGTGAGAGAGAAATAATATTTATTGGTTGAAAAATTACGACTTATAAACCCAGCGAACGGAGCAAAGACTGGAGAACCGTTTCGTGTGATTCTTCCACGAAAGCCCCTGCGGTTGGCAACAGAAGCTGTCGCGAGAGCACCAGCCAACCGGCGGCGGACCGAGAGCACGATACGATCCGCTCCCGTCCCCGTTCGGCCCGGAGAGCCGTCGCCATTTACGATCGTTTACGTCCGCTCCGTCCCGTTCGGCCCGCCGTCGCCATCCAACCCGTCCACGCGACGAACCCGACGCGACGACGCCAGCCCCCCGCCCCCGCACGGCCGGGGTACAGTAGCGGGCCGAGGACGCGCGCCCTCCTCCCTAGTCCCTACCGCACGGCCACGGCCACCAAACCCAGCCAGCTGCGCGCGACGCAAGTACGAACCGCGGGCCGTGCCCACCTTCCGCTGTCGCGCGCTCTCTTCCTCCCTCCCCCACTGCTCCCCCTTCCTCCCGACGTTCACACTGCCCTCTCTGCCCCACGTCGCGTCTTACAAGAGGCGTCACAACCTCCGATTCCCCAAGAGGCAGGAGTGGCACGGCACGCTCTTCTCCTAGCGCGGCTGTAGGTAACCGCGGCGCGAGAAGCTGCTCGTCTTGCGGTTGCGGAGCTGCTGTTATAGCTTGTGCCGGGTGCGGGGGACATGAGCTGCCTGGGCTGGTTCAAGCGGCGGAGGTCCAGGAGCGGGGGATCGTCGTCGTCGTCGGGGAAGCGAGGGGCGCCGGCGCCGGCGTCGGTGTCGGGCCCCGCGACCACGATGACGACGACCACCACCACGACGGCGTCGGCGGTGAGCACGAGCCGGTCGGACGACTCGGGCGCGGTGCGGCCGGTGAGCAAGTCGGCGGGGTCGGCCGGCTCGTCGCAGTTGTCGCAGCGGAGCATCTCGTCGCTGTACGAGGAGCGGGGCCACGGCCAGCTCCGGGTGTTCGACTACGAGGAGCTCCAGGGCGCCACCGCCGAGTTCAGTCGCGCGCAGAAGCTCGGCGAGGGCGGCTTCGGCAGCGTCTACAAGGGCTTCATCCGCGCCGCCGACGGCAAGGGGGACCGCGTCCCCGTCGCCGTCAAGAAGCTCAACCAGCGTGGCATGCAGGTCCGTCCGTACGTCTGCTCTGCTTGTCCTTGATACATCACTCCTCTTGTTGCCGTCTCTCTGGCCGTATCTCCGAGGGCGTTCACATTCCGTCGGTGATTCGGTTCTCCACAACAGTTTGCTATTCTCTGTTTTTGAAACGAAACTGCCTGCTATGTTTCCCGTGATAATCTGTGTAGCTAGAGAACAAAATTCAGAAGTGGATGCTACATTTACGGTATTGATATCGGTAGCCTTTCAGTGTACCGTTTTTCGGAGGACTGGGAAGGATCAGAGAAATGGTTTGCGGGGAATTAGAATGGGACAGATCTCTACTACCGTGTTTTCCGAAAACGAAAGAGGGGAGGGGGGTTCATTTATGTTTTCCTTTATATATGCTGTTGAGTGAAACAGTAGCATAGCATTGAGAAAATGACAAAACACGTGGAATCTGCTCATAACAGGTTTAGCTTTTATGGAACTTGCAGATTTTTTTTCTTTCTGTTTTCAATCTGTTTATCTGCAACAGCAATGTGTAGTTTTGCCAGATTTATGGACTTTTGTGATCTGGTGCTTGTTGATACAGTATGCATTGTTAGGATGCTTGGACTTCATTAGATATATAGACAAGGGGCAATGAAGAATTTTCAAGGATCCAATATAGACATATAGTCATTGACTAGTACACTTATGTTGCTTTTGCAGTTGGACCATGGGTACACGTTAAGACCAACTAACATTTTTTAGTACGAATGGATTCCGAGTGAAAGCATATATAGAGTTTATGAGCCCATCGATGGGGATTAGTAAATTTCATAATAATGTCAATCCTTTTCAGCTGACATTTGTAATTGTTCAGTTGCAAATAGTCAATTCCTGATTAGCTGGCTGCCTGCTGTATGCAATGTTAACAGGAATCAAAAACACGTTATAGGAGTTATATTCCTTTGTTCATAAAACAAGCTAAGCGGAGGGTAAGTACAGAAATAACTATTTGATTAACTGTAACCTTCCAACTATAGACAACAAAGTTTACTTTGACAAATCTGAATGTTGAATATTTGGAATCATACAAAAAAGAGCTTGCAGTAAGCATAAAAACCATGGATGACCGTTTACATGTTCAAGAGGAGAAATATGATGTCCAGAAAACGATGTCAACCAACCTTCTAGCTGTATTCAAAAAATCACTATTGAATTTGCTCAATCAAAGGAGACCACTGGATAGAATGGGGCTCTTTGGTGGGCAACCTGTACGTTCATGATACTAATCTTAGTTGACCACTACCAAATCTTTGCATGCCAACTAGCAAAGAAAAGTCAGCTATCATTTTGTACAACACATTTTATCCATCGTTTATAATTGTGAATGATGGACTCCTGATTTTGTGAATGATCACTGATAAAAAGTAAATATACCAGGTATGTATGGTATTGATTTGGGGACAGTAGCGAATTTGTTTTGTTGCTTTTTTTCTCTGCATATTGAGAAGTTTTTCAGCAATACAAAGTGGATTCTTGGATTTATGCAGTATAGTGAATTTAAGTAATGATGCCGTTTTAGGTGCTAAAGATATTTTTTTTTATCAGGAAGCTGATTCCACCTGTGTTAGTTCCAATTGACGCTGCTGTCTGGACTGAATCAACCAATGGATTGCCTTAGGAATACGATGCCTTGTGCTATATATATTACCTCCCTGTACTAATTGGCATATCAGAATGTGAATTAGCTAGTCTGGGAAGAAATGCGCTCAAATGCAATTTTAGAAGTGGTTAATGCCATAGTCTACTTAGTGTTCTTAGACTATCAGGAAATCTTTGTTCCCTACCTGTTTACTTACTTCTTCATGAAATCTATATATGGTTATACTATCCTTCTATACATCATTCTTAAGTTTTCTAATAGTCTGCAGTTTCTTTTAATTTTATTGTGACAGGGACATAAGCAATGGTTGGCAGAAGTACAGTTTCTTGGTGTTCTGGAGCACCCAAATCTTGTAAAGCTACTTGGATATTGTGCTGTTGATAGCGAAAGAGGGGCACAAAGATTGCTGGTCTACGAGTTTATGCCCAATAAGAGCTTGGAAGACCACTTGTTCAGGCGAGCTAATCCTCCTCTATCGTGGAACAGAAGGCTTCAGGTTATCTTGGGAGCTGCTGAAGGATTGGCTTACCTGCATGAAGGGTAGAAGTTCAGGTAATCAGGTGTTCTTCAAACCTACACTGATTGTGTGTTTTCAATTTACCTCCAAAGGATAGCATATCTTTTCTTTTCTTTTTTTGTGAACAAGGATAGCATATCTTCCATGGTTTTTCAAATGGAAAAGCTTCCTAACTAGCCAAAGTCATCCTGACTACTTTCCCCAAAGATTCCAAGGAAGCCAACTCTGACATTTCCGGAAAGCACAGTTCAATGTTCAAGGCTATGACATGCAGCCACCGTAGCCAATTTCTCTTCTAGCTCTGCTGTTTGTACCAAACATTTCAGCCTGGCCTGGCACCAGTTCTCCAGCTGACTATTGTGCAGCATATGAGCCATCAAGCAAGATCAAAATATCACATACTAGTAGTGTTATGACTATGTCATGCCATTGTTTCATAACGTGTGCTACAATACTGTTCTTATTTGTTTTCAAGTTTTTCATTCAGAAAAGGTAATCCTTATCTCAATACCTGAATTCTGCGTTTTGGTCAGGTGATCTACCGGGACTTCAAAACGTCCAACATTTTACTGGACAAGGACTTCAGAGCGAAGCTATCAGACTTCGGCCTAGCCAGGGAGGGGCCAACTGGAGCAAACACTCACGTCTCGACCGCGGTACGTTGCATCCATCAATTAGAATCAGGATCAGGCACTGAAGATAACGTACTAGTCCTACAAGTTTGTTTGTTACTCGTAGTAGTTGGTAGCCGGGCATTTACTGTTGCTGACCGGATACGTAAGCAATGCAGTGTACCTGCTCGATCTACGCGCAGCTGACGGACGAGCCTGGGCTTCCATTGTCAATGGTGCCTTCACTTTTTTCTATGCGTAATGCGTCACATGCACGGCACTGTCATGGGACTGAACAATTGCACTATGCGCCATGCTGACGCAGGGCTTGAAGATAGCATCAAACAGTCAATGTGGAGCTTGATTGCATAAGCATGATTCATGATTGCACGCCCCTGAAAGTTACTACCGCAGGTTTGTTTCGGTTTTGACAGCTCTGTCGCGTGATGTGGTGTTACAGGTCGTCGGGACGCAGGGGTACGCAGCACCGGAGTACATAGACTCAGGGCACCTGACTGCGAAGAGCGACGTGTGGAGCTTCGGCGTGGTGCTGTACGAGATCCTGACGGGGCGGCGGTCGCTGGATAGGAACAAGCCGGCGGCGGAGCAGAAGCTGCTGGAGTGGGTGGTCCAGTTCCCGCCGGACAGCCGCAACTTCCGGGTGATCATGGACCCCAGGCTCCGCGGCGAGTACTCGGTGAAGGCCGCCCGGGAGATCGCCAAGCTGGCCGACAGCTGCCTGCTCAAGAACGCCAAGGAGCGGCCCACCATGAGCGAGGGTGGTCGAGGTCCTCAGGCGGGCCGTGCAGGCGCACGCCGAGCCTGACAGCCGGACTCCCGGCGGCCCCGGCGCCAAGGGAAGAAAGCCGACGCTGCCGCGCCGTCCAGGCGGTGATTGCTGCATGTCGTCGCCGGTGAAGGCGCTGTTGCCTTATTTCTGAATTCTGAGTCCATTGGTTAGTCTTAGTCGTGAGTTGTGACAGCACAGAAGGAGTGTTACTCTTGAGGCCTTACATATAAATTTTTGGACACATTACTTAGACGACTTGTACATAGAGAGGAGTTGGTGGATTGAACTTTGTTTAGCTTTCGAAAGTGAGCATTTTGAAGAAAAAAATTGCTCTGGCTCTACAAAAGATCTGTTTTAGCATAATTGAGTGAAATCAGACACGAGAGCACAAAGTTTCAGAAAGCAACTGGCAAGAACTTCGTCAAGCATAGAAACACATAATTTATAAAAATAACCCACAATTTTGACTGTATTGAATTTCAATGGGTTCTTGTTACTACCTTTTCTACTTACATAAATTTTCACAAATTGTTTGGCCTTTTGTGAGCACTCCATCTCGTGTTTATTATTATTTGTAGGTATTGTGTCTATCTCGGTCGTTATTTTGTTTCACTGGCAAAAGTCAAAGATTCAGATTAAAGATGCATGAAAAAATCAAGTCAAAAGGCAAGATTGGCAGTGCTGAACCCGTCGCTCCCTCTGCTCCCGGACCTCTTTCCAATGCAAAGAAAGAGGCACTTAAAAAAAGCAAAACAAGACAGATTTGTATCGTGCCCTAAACTTTAGCTATTAGGGAATAGTTACTCCATGGCAAGGAAACTGCGTGGAGCAATTGCCATGAGGAAATGAGGAAGGGATTTGTAACTAACACGAAAGACATTGAGATAATTATGGTTGGCAGGTTGCATTGGGCATCCAATCGGGTAATTGGTTCTATTCAGTTTTGGAAATTTGATTTCCAAAAAAGTGGACCAAAATTATTAGAAAATTAATAAGGACGAATGCTAAAAGTTGGCTTAGATCCTGTTT